TACTCATTTTGCTCATCGCGACAATACCACAAATCATGGAGAGGAATGTGAGTACCAACAGCGAACATCCAATTGTGATCGAGCCCACTCGTATACCGTTTGACATAGCCATGTTTTCGCTGGGCCTTAAGGATTCCCAAAAGATGAAAGACTCAGGCTAGATTCTGTTGAACTTTGTTTAATTAATTAGACCACCTGTAGTCCTGTCAATATGTAATCGATCTGAAATGCATTGCGACGCGTATCCGTTTCAAGATCGCTATTCAAATTTTAAGGCTGATGCGAGCAGGCTAGCTATTGGCTAGAAAATGGGAATTTACAAACACACGTTGCTCAGCAAATAGTAGTACATGTGAGCATGTGCACTGATGCTCACTAATTGACGCAAATCCCGTATGTGGTATGATGTATTACTGTACTTACAGATAGAGCACTAACCATACTTTTTAAGTTTGTTTGCCGCTAGAGAAACGTATCAAAAATTAAAAAAATTGAACTAGTCATAACTGAGTGGAAAAGTATATTCATTAGCTTTGAGCGCGTGTTACGTAACATACAAAAGATTTCCCTCTTAATTTGATTGTGCACAAATACTGAACTACATATTTAGTTAGGTGGTTCAAGTTCTATCAATATTCAATACACAATTGTTAATTCGTGCAATTGTCAATTTAAATACAATTATCAACATAACACACACAAGATTCTCCTCTTAATTTGATAGTGCACAAATGAAACTTATACTGAACTATATATATTTTATAGCTAGGTGGTTCAATTCTATCAATACATAAGTCATAATTGTTCGTGCAAATATAAACCTTTAATAATACATTATTCGACCTAAAAAGCTATGGTAATTACATGTGAAAAATCTAATCAATAAGCTTTGCTATCGACAACCATTTGGCCTTGACCAGCAGGTTGACCATAAGGTGGTGGCTGTTGGCTGTAGGCCGGGTATGCTTGTGTGGTCATCACCACTGTATTTGGTGGTGGCTGCTGGTTGGAAGCCGAGTGTGCTTGTGCGGTAATCATTATTGTATTCGGTTGTTGACCTGTTGTGACGATAACAGTTGCAGGTTCCTATTAACAACATAAATATGTTATTTTTGTGAAAAATCATATTTCTTCTACTTACACTTTAAAACCACTCTGGTTAACTTGCGGTAATCGTTCCATGTTTCGCGCACCAATATAGTAAACGTTATGTAATGGATATTATAGTGTACTGAAAAGTTAACTGCATACCTCCATTCACATATATACACACCCTAACCCATAACCCTAATCTAACCCCTAATACCTAAACCCTAATACCTAACCCCTAATAAGTAACCCCTAATAAGTAACCCCTAATACCTAACCCCTAATACCTAACCCCTAATACCTAACCCCTAATACCTAACCCCTAATACCTAACCCCTAATACCTAACCCCTAATACCTCACCCCTAATACCTAACCCTAACTTATATTGCACGAAACATGGAACGATAACCAAAATTGCCAGGTTAACCATGAAATAACGCCATTTAGGTTAAATTAATATTTCTTGTTTAAATTCCTGGTTATTTTATCTCACTTTGTTTCTTAATGAAACCAGGAATCTGGTATATTTGACCAAGACGTTATGGCATGTTAAAATAACCAGACTATGTTGCCCCTATATAGTTATTTATCCACCTAGCCTAACATCGTCTGGTTAGCTTATCCAGGAAGTCTTGGTCAAATTAACTACACTGTAATAGAAAAATATTAAAATAGCCAGGCAAGGCCATCGGTTGGGGTCAAACTCATTAACAATTCATGAGTAAATTAGCCAACCATATATTGCTTTATTTTGCTCACATGAAAACTACTGGATACCATGAAGTATATTGATCCAGTCCTATAGGACTGGATCAAAATTAATTCAGTCTTTGACTGGGTGGATCAAAATTAATTCACCTCACTTTAAGTAGTGATTTATTTGTATGAGATGTCATTCCAATCCTTCAATTCGGACTGGACTAGATTTCAAGTCCTCGCATTTTGATGAAATTGTCGATATAATTATTATTAATAATTATCCTCATAGTCGGATTTGACATATTACTTCAAATAGATCTCTATACCAAGCATAATTTACCCGGCGTGCACAGCAAGTTCCAATGCAGCCATAAATTGATCCCACCAAAGTGACGATAGCAAAAAGAGCAAAGAATATCGTGACTGCACCAGTAGCTTCGCGAACAGTTTTCAGGTCGGAGCAACTAGCCGCATCTAAGAGAGCGACAGAATTGAATTTTAACATCGCCTGCAATATCTTCAGTTCAGGTGACTGCAAGACCGATAGGGGAAAAATTCAGACTTGTCGAGAGAATAAACAAAATCAACAACTTACATCCCCACGATTCGCCCCCGTATAAACAATAACAGTAGCCGTCGGTTGTGATGCCGTAACTTGGATCAAAGTCATAAGAATTATCACCATCGATACAATTTGAATCCAGTGTAGCCCAAAACGCGGCTCCAGCAGACATTCCAACAATCGCGAGAATAATTCCCAAGACATGGGTACCAAGTGCAACAGCCAACTATATTAATATAAAAAAAAGATACGGTATATGAGCCCAGCAATGTTTAACCTAAACTAACGACTAATTTTATAATGTTATGCACTATTTAAAACATGAGCAGCAGTGTTTTATCAGATATAAAGATACGAGGCGAAGTCGAGTATCTTTAGGTCTGATAAAACACGCACTGCGAATGTTTTAAATTATATATTCATTTATAAATATCAAGAAACCAAAAACTTCAATGTAATAAAATAATAATTTTTACGTTTCGGGGACAAGCCCCTTCTTCAGAAGAACGCTACATCATCTCCGTCTCTTACTTAAATAGTCTAACATTTGCATATACATAAATTAATTAAACCTCTTCCCTTAAATTAAGCCCACGTGCATGGCACATAACTATTAAGTTTCTCAATCCAAAAGCTCTCCCTCTCCGAGTGGGGTTATTAACGTCCGTGAGGTCAATAACCTGCACTAAAAAATCACTTAGACCTGAATGTCCCACAAATATTTCTCTTCCCCCGCCCATATATATATATATATATAGTTTTTCGTTTTACCTCAAAAAACCACAACAGTCTGTTTCATCCGTATAGGAATCATCAGTACACCTGATGATTCCTATACGGATGAAACAGACTGTTGTGGTTTTTTGAGGTAAAACGAAAAACTATATTACGCTCTATCTATATGGTATTGAGCACTGTTTGTGTTTCGTAAACCAAAATCTTAAGCTATATATATATA